CTTATGATGTAACGCTCTTGATTGGGCGAAGTGAAAAAGAGAGGTTATCTTCTTCGTTTACAAGAATGGATCAACTTTTTGGATTTGCGACCACTAGAAGCTTGTATAGTATGTATCCGATAGGAGCAAGGATCTTAGCTCAAGCTGCCTTTGGGTGCTGCGGCGCATCGCTCGATAACGCTATTCGTTGTGATCATTTCATGCAAAGGCGCAACGAAAGTAGAACGAAGGTAGAAGCTGGCCTAAGCAATTTCTAAAGTCTCTCTTACATAATGCACCAAAGAAATTGTTTTTTCGTTTAGAATATTTTCAAAAAATGAGTCGTGCAGGCCGTGCATCTTCGCACCATCATTGATAGTGAGTGTCTAATCATTTACATCGAGTGTGACTGTTGTAGCTAGAGCGGTGCACTAAAATGTTCTAATTCTTTAGCGCAAATCCCAACTGCTGCTTCTTTGTTGACGCGCAGAAAATCGTCATGAAGCAGCCATGAAGTACTAAGAATTGGATCTGCGCCGAAGTGTCGCAAAAACAGTCGAAAATCCCCCTCGTTCATTGAAATTCTCAGTAATCTGCTCGTAAAGTCACTCTACGTTTATAGGGCGACTTACCCTTTTCCTTGATTTCTTCAGTAATATAATTGTCAGAGCCAATAAACACATCTTCCATTTCTTTCGACACCTCTTCAGTTGTGTTGAAGGCTTTGAAGGCATCTACTAACTCCGTTGAAGTCTTGGTATTTGAGATAAGGCTAAACTTCTTGCTCAGTCCTGTCTCGCTTTCTATCATTTCAGCGAGAGCTTCCATGTCGGGATCATCCCTGAAACAAGTGCAGACATTGCGATTAATCTCATTTCTGCAAAGTGTTCTGTTTGCTCGAAGACAGCATCCCGGACGATTTTTTTGTCGTACTCCGTGCATGTGTGCCTTTTCGTTCCTCGGAACGAATATTTGCTTCAAACATAATGAATTAGCATGTGTTAGGGTGGCGCACGCCGCAGGACGCAGCAGGCTGCCGCAGACTGCCGCAGACTGCGGCGTAGTGTGAAGGGAACCTTAGGGCTTGCCCCATTTTTCAGAATGAAGCTCGGAAGCTACTCAAATGGAATGTCTAACAGTCTAGGTTTGATGCCGCCTTTTTCGCGCACGAAAACGTACGAAAAAGGCGGCAGAATTTGCCCCGGTGGTCCCGCTCAGAACAGGTACATGTTTAAATCGAAGATGCACGTCGATAGGTAGAAGTTTTCACTGCGGACATGACGCAGAGCAGATGTAAAACAAGGAGTCTAGGAGGCCACAAGTAAGGCGCTTCACTCCACTCACTTTTACAAGAACTTCATCTTGCCGGACGCTGCCTTCACTACTAGGCTAGTGCAAAAGTAACGAGCGTTTCTAGGCTTTCGAAAAAAATTTTCTCTTCAAACTTACTTCCTTTACATACAACTAGCATACTTTT